TTAGGGTTATTCTTCAGCTTGCATGCATGCTCTCCCTCCCCCCCAGCAAGTAACTTCATGTCTTCAAGGTGAACTGACAAACAAATGCTGACCTGGCAGCACTGCTGCATGAGAAGCGTGGCTCTAGGAACGTCACACACTGCCTTCCTCACATGCCCAGAGGGGAAAGACAAAAGGAAAGCCCAACAATTGCTGCTTGCCACAGAGCCTGCCACACACAACACCTCTGCAAGGTGCAGGGGAATGCTTTGAAGCAGCTAAATTCGTACATGACTTATTTGAAAGCCAGCACCAAAGTCTCACATCCTTTAAGATCCCACAGTTGTAACACAGAGCAAAGCTTTCAGTATGCCATAAAGATCACTGAGACTACTGTACCAACAAGCTCAGCAGCCTGCTCACCAAGCATGCACAATGAGCAGGGATGCATAATGATTGGGAGTGAGGTTTGCTTGAGAACCACACAACTCCTGCCTCAAAAGGCAAAGAGCTTGTAAGTGTACTCTACAGCTAACCATCCAACCCAGCTGAGAAAGTCAAGCACACACAAATGTTTTTTTTTTTTCCTAAATTCTCTGTGCTGGCATTGCCACAGCCTTTTGTGTCGAAGGATTTTGCATTCATGTTCAATATGGGTCCCAAGCAGACATCAAAGGAAAGCATTAAACTTCCTAGGCAAAGCCTTAGGCCAACTTCAGAAGATACACCACTGCATAATATTTAGCATTTGGATCACAGTAATGCATGGAAAAAGAAACTGCAAGACGCCCACAAGACATTCCCTACATACTTCCATAATCAGGGACATTTCTGCTGGATTACTGTTCACATGGCAAAAAAAAAAGTCAGCAACCAAGACACCAATGTGGCTTTATTTGGCCCTTCTGCTCATTCCCATTCTTCTCTACCAGATGCCAGATACATGTGAACTCCTACAGAAAAGACTGACAGTTTGAAAGGCACAGAGCAGGTAGAAACCAGCACTGCATCTGCTGGTCTGAAAAAAAGAGAGGAAGTGCTCCTTACACTGTTGAATGTCTATTGTGTTAGCTGTTCCCCAGCCACACTAAGAAGTGATGCAGAAGGCACACTTTTCAAGAGAAGCCCTTCCATCCCCTTCCCATAGGAGCTATGCCATCGCTGACTACAGAATGCTTTTTTCTTAAAGGTTCTAAAACCCATGGGATGTTGTGCCTGAGAAAGAGAAATGCAACAAGTACTTTGACTCGTTTTTTTGGCAGCTGGAAATAAGAAACACTGAAATATGCTTTTAAACTACAGTTGCCTGGCACGATATTTGGCTTTTACAGTAAAGCCAAAGGGGATTAGGACATACTGTACTAATTCACGAGAGCAGACAGTACCTGCTCCAGAGCTTTATCTTCCAAGCAGACTGGAGAAAACAGCAGCATTTCAATGGTATGGTAGGGAAAAGAGGAACAACGACATTCAGTGACTTATACAGCATCACACAGGAACTTTTTGCAGGCCTAGACTGTGTTCCCAGAGTCTCAGCCCACTCAGGCATTGGAAAAAGCAATGAAATAAGAGTATGCACTATGTTTGGCACTCATTCCTAAATCATCCATTGCTACGAGGGAACAAGAACCTCCACTCATGTTAATGCAAGGCACTGAAGGAATATCTAAATGAAAACTAGTTATTCACTCCACCCATCTATCTGATCACCTTCTATTTCCGAAGTCAGTAAAACCTTTCTTGGCCAGACGACCCAGCCCACAATTGGGATCTCATTACAAATCAGACACACTAAACCACTTTCTCCCTTTGGCTGCAGAAGATAAAAGGCCAAGTGCACAGGCAACATTTTAGTAACTGGCTTCACGTAACAGTTTCAGATTTTCTTAAAAGCTTCAGCATCGATTATTTTCTTTAAATAGCAGTGGGTTATTGAGAAACCTTCCGTCCATTTTAATGCACAAGGTTTTCCTGAAGAAGGAAAGAAAGCAAAAATCAGTCCTGCAAAGGCACTGTTGTTGAAGAGTTTCTGATATCCAGTCCTAGCAAAACGCTGAAGCCAAAGTTAACATTGGTGCTGAAGGACTAAGAGGAGAAACACAGAGATGAAGAGGAAATAAAGTATGGATTGACCCAGAACAATAGTGAGATTCAGCTCCAGCTAGAGCTTCAGCCAGCAGCATGAGCCAGTGCTGCCATTTGTATGTAGCCAAAGGAGCTAAAGGCTCACAGCACGCATAGCAGCACAGCTCTCATGTGGTCTTTGTACAAGTTGGGGCAAAATGAATATAGGAATTAATTTATTTGAGCAAAAACACCGACACCCTGCTGTTACATAAAAGCCTGTTTTCCGGGGAGGGCTTCCAAAGATGGTGTCATTTGGGCTGCTCTGAATCAAGCGACAGTCAGGTTCAAGATGGGATACACTGCAGCCTGAGAAACACTGGTTTGAAATAATCTCCTGTTCCTTTTTCAGTCCTCACGGCGCTTGTTCCTTCAGTTTGTTAGATTTTCATATGGAAAATGAGCATGGCAATTCCACCTCCTGGTTCTCAGATGCTAATATGAGTCTGTGATGAAAGCACTGCAGAAGGCCTCAGGGAGATGTTTAAATCCTAACTCAAACAGATAAAAAGATGACTATTTAAGTTTGCCTGGGAAAGTCTCTGCACATATTGGAAACCCCTTGAGGCAGGGACTGCCCTTCTGTTCTCAGTTTAATGGTCTGTTGTACAAATTATGATTGCACAATTATTTTTATAAAGTTTCCAATTACACTAAGAATGTATCTTACTGAGGTTTACAACTGTGAGAAATAAAACCTAAAACCCCAAAGCCTTTGGATTCAAGCTGCACGACCCACTAATATTCCATCAGCAATGCTCTCTCTCAACACTTCTACAAGGTTACACCCCAGTCCACAACGAGCAGACACAAGCATCCCAGCACAATGTAGCTAACACTGCCATAATTCAACACACAGCTTTGTTTCGTGTCTTCTCATCTTTTCTTCTGCATTGATATTTTAGCAGTCAGCATTCCTGGGCAGATCCTGTATGCCTTGATGGCTGTGAGCTCAAATTCCAAGCAGGGTGCAGTGGTATTGTCCTGCTGGAAGCTACTTACCTGTAAAGCTGGCTGCACTGCACACAGGAACATGAGGGGCACAGACGTGGAACAAGGAGGAGAAAGAAGTGTCAAAGATGAAACCAATGGGCACGCATTGCCAAGTGTTCTCCCTCACTCAGGCCCAGGCATATTGAAAAGAGCAAAGCACAAATTCTGACCTACAATGAGCACAAAGTAAAACCCATCTCCTTCTTCATCCAGATCTCAGCCCAAAATCCAGCATGCAACAACTCTCCCAGTGGAGGGACAGGGGAGTGACTACTTCATTTTACAAATATCAGAACTGAGCACAGGAGCAAGGGCCTGAAGGCACCCAGCTGGTCTGAGAGGCAGGATGTGCTTCATGCCCAGACCTGGGCACACACAGCTCTCTCTGCTGTTGACATTAACATTTCAAAACCTCTTTCTGTTGTGGAAATGTACAACCTCCTCCTCTTTAAAACCTGGAGGCTTTACAGCCCTCCTCTGCTGAGAACTGCTGCCCCTGAACAAGAAGAGCCCCCAGGAGGCCCCGAATGACTCAGATGTGATAGCCTTAGAGGAGGTTTGTCTACAGAAGCTGAAAAAAAAAAAAACCAACACAACTGTAACAGTCTGCAATCAGTGTAATTCATAGCAGAATGCTGAAATTCAACTGCTAGGCACAGAGATAAAACATCACAGAGGTGCAGATCAACCCAAAAAGGCAACATCAAGAGGAGGAGGAGGCAGCCTCCAATGGAAGATGATACATCTGAGCACCTAACATAAAGAATCTGAGAGGATCTTTCTAGCTGTACAACCAATGCCCTTGATGCAAGGTGACACATTCTTATCTTTTCTGTGCAAACAGGAAGGGGAAAGCATGATACCCTTTCCACCAGGCAGAGCACCTCTGTGCCTTGTGATCCTGCCCTCTCTTAAGGCTGCTCCAGAAGCTAAACTCGTTTAAGCTGCACACATACACACAGCTCGAGTGCAATTTCCTCTCATCTCAGCTAATAAATCTTACAGTGTGTCTGCTTTTTTCTGAACGCATACTTTATGAGCTGAATAAACTTTATGGAAGAGTTGATTGCCAAGGCAGCCAAAAGCTGGAAATCTGATGCTTGACCACAGCCAGGCACAGCAGGCTCCAAGAAAGTTTAGCAGCAGCTTTTGCACCTCAGCCTTTCTAACTGGCCTGCTCCCCCTGCAAAGACCCCTAACTTACTGTCTCTGAATGCTTTTTATTCAGCTTATCCTCAAGATTCTTTCCTTTGTGATTGAGAGATCGTAAGAGAGAACAGCATCTTTCCAACCTTACCAGTACGGAGCACAGCCCAGCATCCATCCCTCACATTTTCTCTACAGTTTTTTTAGTTTAGAGGCTGTCAAAATAATGTGCGTTTGAATAACAACTCAACAGTCTTAGTAAAGACATCTAACATTTCAGTAGAAGCATCAGCAAATCTTCCCTCAAGTAAGGGCTTTAGGGAAGTTGCTTGGAACAGATCAATATTTAACAGAGACAACACTCCCAGGCACTTCTACAGCTCTTGATCACGCAACAACCCTTTGGCAATGCTGACAAGCATGTACACAAACAAGTACTGGGAAGGCAACTTGCAGTCCCAGCCATCAGTTAATGCAGTTTTACAGCTGGAAACGAGAGGGAGAAGCCAATATCACAGGAAAAAACAGACCCCCCAGGAAGCACTCTAAGGGCCCCCAGTTTGGAAACCCATCTCCTGCAGCTATTTTCCAAGCGATTTAAAGAAAAACAACAGCTCACATACAGATCCTATAGTCTAAGAGCCCATTTTCTGAGCAGAAACTGTAGTGCAGTTGAAGGCCAGGCCTTCACCTGTACAGAAACTGATCAGCAGCACGAGCAAACGCACCGCACCCGCAGGGTGAGGTCAAGTACGTACCTTGGAAATGAGTTCATCATGGTTAGCAAGATGAGCCCTGCAGTGAATGCAGCTGTAGGTCCTGTGGCACGAAGGCAGATATGCCTGGAAAGTCTTGGACCTTGTCATCTTCACCATTGGAGCCACCGAGCGCTGCGTGAACTCCGGGGTAGCCCAGGAGGCACTGCCGCAGGATGGGTCACACGGGAAACACCGGAAGACACAGGTAAAGGCCGTGGTTTGGCAGGGGTTGGGTGTGGGGCAGGCTCCACACGCTGGTGACAGCTTCAGAGGAAGAGATTCAGGTCTAAGGAACGGAGGGTTTCACAAAGACCTGTGTTTAAAACAGAGCAGAGATGGAACGCTCAGCACAGGTGTCGCAACGTGAGCTACGGTGGTCTCCTTGCCAAGAGTCTGATGGCAAGCAGAGAGGAGTAAGCAGCCAGGGAGAGGTGTGCTGTCTGCAGGTCAGACTGACACGCATCCATGCCTGCTGGCTGCCTGCCCTCACATCTTCCCACCGCTATCTACCATCTTCCTATCACTCAAGCGCTCACAATCTCTATTCATTCTTCCAACACTTAATGGATTTGGAAAGAACTACAGGCATACAAAGATGCTAAAAAGCTCATTTTCATCAAGTCTCGTCTCCCAGACACCTCAGGGAACAGCACACACCCAGGCCCAGCGCCGCAGAAGCCCAGGGAGCAGCCAGACTCCAGCAGTTCCTGAGAAAGCCAGGCCTGGTGCTGTGCAATGCAGCACGCTGGGCTGCAGGAGGGCTGGGAGCTGAGCTTGGGCTTCCTCTGCCACCAGCAAGTGCACGACTCACCAGACCAGTTCTGCCCTCCCATCTGCTCCAGCTTCCACACGGGAAATGGAGGATTACTTCACCGTGCTCATCTTTGTAATTTGCTGTGAGCTCTGAAGGCAGGAACTGCTCCACCAACTGCACTCTGGTGTTTTTTTCCCCCTCAGAATATCTGACAGCAGTCAAAGTGAGGAGCAGCATCCAAGATTACCCCTGGTAACAGGGGACACAGCTACAAATCCTATTCAGGATGCAAATACCCATTTACTATCCAACATTATCTGATACAACCTGCTAGGCAGCTCAAGCCTGGGTCGTTTTGCTGGCAGAAATCAGTTTTTCAGATTCTGCACACACAAACCTTACCAGGTAACAAATGAAAGCAGCAGCAGAAGTGAAGCAGCTCCCCTCCCTGCCTGGTACGTGGTGTGCATGCATGCTCCAGAAATTAACCATGGGCTCTGACTGCTCCTCCCATGAGGATTTTCCCTTCCATACAATAAGTGATTGTGTTCACTTCCTGAGTCTGCACTTTGTGTATCAAATACTGCAACAATCCCCTCTCTTAAAATAAAAGAAAAACAAGAAAAAAACATCACCCAAACCTGACCTGCAATGGAAATTTCTGAAGGGAACAAAACAGAAAAGCAGAAAAGCTTAAAGCTGGTCTCTAAGCCAGTGTGTCCAACTGCCCTGAAGTGTATCTGATTATCTTCCAGGTTACAGCAAAGCCAGCTGAGGTCCCTTCTGTGACAGAAGAGCTCCCTGGAGCCTGCATGCTGAGCTGGTTGTGATGCAGCTCACCAGGATGGGCAGCCACAGGCACAGCTCCAGCAAAGCACCAAGCTCAGGGTTCAGAGCACAGTGCTGCTGGACTCATTCTAAGCAAATGCATCTCTCCATTTGCTGAAGGGGAAACTGTTCCATCAGAGTGTGATGGAAACCAAAATGTTTATTAAGGAACTGAAGGCAGGACCCAAGAGAATTGCAGCAGGAGGTGGTCCTGCAGGACTCCTGCCCACAGCCCACTTACTGAACAGCACTTCAGACTGAAAGAGCAGTAAGAATCAGGCTGTGAATCCATTACTGCTGCCTGCTGGAATGCGTGAGCACTGTCAGATACATATACAAAAAACAAAACCCACCCCAAAACTCATCACCTTGGTACCAAAGCATCATTTATGGAAAGCTCAGTCTCTTAATACTTCTGTTCCTACATCTTCCTGTCATTGCTGAAAAGGAAGATGCAAGGCACCCAAGATGCATTAGTGCTTCTAAAGGCATTCCCCTCCAGACCTACTGCAGGCTGGGCAGCCCTGCAGAGCCTGCCTTGTGTGCACAGCTTCCCAGCACAGTACTGCAAGCAGTACACTGGCGAGCTGCCACAGACATACATACACACATGGGCACCATTTAGCACAGCCCAATGCTCACCACAATATGGTCAACAGGAGGTAGGCACTGGTAAGCCTACCTGATACTTGGTCTGTTGGTTTAGGTTCTCCCCTCTCCCTCCCCCCCAAAAAATATATTTTTTTTTTCCTGCTTTTCAGAAGGCAGTTCCTCCTCTACTCAAATGGGAAAAAGATTCTTACTCATCCTGAAAACTGCTGATAAAGCCCATCTATCACCATCATAATAGTCAGCACTTACATGGCACTTTTCATCCTTAAAGCTCTTTGCAAACACTAACTAATCAGATTAACCTTTTGCAATTAAAGTTGCAGCCAGAGCTCTGGAAGGCCCATCCTGACACAGAAGGGCTCACTCCCCAGCTTGTCAGAAACAAAACCTGCTCCTGTTGAGGAAGAAAGGTTCTGTTGGGGGTAGAATTGACCAACCTGTGCCCTGTTTGGTGCACAGCTGCATCTCTGGACCTCAGCAGATCAGAATGAAGACCAAACACAACCGGATTCCAAGGCAAAGCTGTGTCAGAAAGCAACACCTTACAGCAGACAGACCAGCTGAGGAACAAGCAAGATTTCATCTGACTTCTGCATAAGCAAACAGACTGTTAAAACCCATGTCTACATTGACCTCATCAAATGGTGTGATGAGGTCTTTCCTCCCTTGAGCAGCTAAACACAGCAGCCAGCAGCTCTATACTTTCCTCCCAGGCTGCTGTGCCAAACTTTTCTTTTCCCATCAGCTGCCCACCACTACAACAACTCAGCACTGCAGCACTACAGGCACCTTACAAACCAAATGGAGACACAAACAATGCCCAGCCAGAATAACATAAGATGAATGCCTTATTTGTTGTTTGCTGATCTAAGCATCAGTGCTCTGGAACAATGAGTAGAACAGGAAGAACTACAGCTACATGGTATCACAGAGAAACCAACAGTGCACACACACACAACCTGCTGCACCTTTCTGCACAAATATTTCATGAGAATTCATTCATTTGACCTCGTAACACATTTAATGTCAGCAAAAACATGTGGCCTTTCAGGAGACAAACTGAATTGAGAAGGTATCCAGGCACAGATTGAGACGTCCTGTGATTCTTGTTCTCAGTACTGTGCTGAGAAGGCAAAACAAATGGATCACTTCACTAAAGGCAGGAGAGAACAGATATGGGAGGTAAGGCCTTGATGGGAAACATGGCTGAGATGCTAAGTAAGGAACCACTTTAAAAAGAAAAACAAAAACAACTAAACTTGAGAAGAACTCCATACATCATATAAGGATTATCGTTAAAAAAACAAAGCTTTGATGACTTTAATTATTGTGCCCAATGCCATTAGAGAGATGAGAATCTGTATTCCACATAATCCAGTATTTCTCTTTTATAATTCAAGAAAAATTCCATTTTTGAATGTATGCAATCAAGTCAGTGGAACAGAAATTTGTATGTACTAATTAACCTGCAAGAAGTCAGAAAACTGGTTGAGACAAAAGGAATGAATTCTAGGGAAAAGCTTATCTGCATCATCTACTGTGGCAAACAGAACCACTGGAGAGCGCTGTGCATGTCACAGCTGCCCTGCCTAGTCCTGCAAAGTCAGATATCACCTCAAGAAGAAGAAAAAAAAACATGACATTTTGCTATTCAGACAGCTTTCAGCTCAGCACTCACCCTTCATCTGCCTAACAGCCACTTTTCACATTAAGCTGTTCAGTAATTCAGGAAACACAAAAAAGGAGAAAGGCGAAGTCTGTGCCAAATGCTGGCTACGTGAGGTTACTGTTGGTACAAGCCCATATGCCACAGCAGCAGAGAACAAAGGCTATTATACAGCCTTGTTTTGCATGAAACCCATGTGCAATGCAGCCCAGAGGCAAGTGTTCCTGCTCACTCTGAAAGGACAAACAGCAGGTCTGTTGGGTTTGAGGGTTTGTATTACAGATTATTTGCTTTTTAAGACTTTAGCTGGTAGAATGCTTAGCAGAACACAGCAAATGCCACAGAAAGCTGCCTGGAGCAGTTCTGAAAAAGCCCATCTGTCTGGAAACCCAACCTTCCTTCTTTGGTGTCTCTTCTCATTAACATAGGAAGAACTAGAGATGTACTTATGCTGAGTGTAATTAGAGCACAGGGGGAATCAGACTGGGGAGTTCTTTGTTTCCACAAGGTCACCAACCTTAGCAGCCAACACTGCTCCAGGTTCTTAGCATGGTTTTAATAAAAGGCTTGAGGCAAGCACATGTACTTATCAGTGCTTTCTTCATGTGGAAACTACCTGAACAATGCTTAATGCACTGCATCTTGAGAGAGGCTGGTCTCTAACACAACACAGTAAGAGGGAAGGCTGGGTTCTCCCATTCCTGCAGGATCAATGTCAGGAGAGCAGATGCTGAAGCTCCAGAGAGCTGGCAGAGCTGGGAGCCTTTGCACTCAGATGATGCAGTTCTGCAGTGAGGATCCTGGGGCGGTCTGGGAGATTCACACCACAGCATAGGTCAGCAACAGCTTTGGAAAGTTGAAGCCAGATCTGAAGATAGCAAGGGATCATATATGTAGTCAAAGGCCCTGAAAAAAAGGGTGATCATCTTGAAATTAAACATGGAACACGATGGAAAAAACAATAAAAGACACTTAAGTAAAATATGGGGGTAAGTAACACTCCCCTACTTCTTCAGTATCTGAAATGCACCAAGTTCAAACTCTTGGTAAGAAGTACCAGCAGTACTGCCAGGGTCAACAGAAGTCATTACTGATACATGAACTGTAAGTGTCCTCTCCTAATGCCTGTGTTCCTCCAGCTCATCCTCCAACCTCTGCAAGCCTACGGAGAAAGGAAAGCAACAGTGAAGCAACAGACTACATTTACCTTTACTTTGTTCAGATTCGTGCACAGAATTGCACTACAGAAACAGGACAGAGAAGGCTTCTCTCTTAGATCACCTTCAAAATAAAATAAACTTCATTCGTGTTATCCCTCTGGGCACATCCCCATGAAACACTCATCTCTGAGGGCCCTGGCTCCCTCATCCACAGCCTGGAGACAGTCCTCACCTCAGGAAGCACTCTGTGACGCTGAGAAAAAGCATCTGCAGAGGTGGATGGAAATACACCACACTGACACCAAAAATACTGCAGACAACCGGCACGTAACCACTAGAGGGCATCCAGAAGAGATACAGAAAGCAGCAGTCAGATGCTACCTTGCCATCATGGATCAGGGACGGGCACACAAACCATGCTGCAACTGCCATGTTCCACACAGCTCGTCAGGAAAAGCATCAGTTACAGCTCTGCTATCCACGCTAAAAACAACATCACAGTTGTACCAATCAAAGGAGCAAACAGCAAATCTTCACATCTCACTTAGGTTAATTCCCCCTCCCCAGCCCCCCCACCGCCACAAAGTCTGTCTGGCTTTGTTACTGTACAAACTAATGCTCTTCATCCACAAACGAAAGTAATTTATGGGAAAAGAAAATAGATTTTTAAATTGCTCTTTAAATAGTTGATTTACCTTTTGCTAGTTTGGAGATTCAATCAAATTAAACAGGAAAAAAAAAAAAGGTTTAAAAGCAGCCAACATCCACATCAGTGCATTTTCAGGAGCTCAAGTGCAGTGCTGTCACTACAAGCAGTTCCAGAGGATGGCTGCATTCTCAGCAGAAGCTTTCTTGCATTAAGCTACAGCTCACAACTGACTGGAAACAAAAGGAACAGGTTAAAGTATCTCAGCAAGACACTGTAAAGATGTGGCTGCAGACTAGCAGGAGAACTTGCTGGATTTATTTACAGTGCTGGGGCTGAACTCAGCCCATTCAGGCCCACCAAGCATCAGAATTGCTAACTCATCTCTCCCTGCACAAGAGGACAATGCACCCTGTTCAAAACAACCCAATCCAATACACTATGGGCATCCTAACGAAAAGCAAGGGAGAAAAATAAATCTGGGGAAAAAAAAAAAATCCAGAAAAATGCTTCTCTACAATTTCATCAGTTCAAAAAGATGCAGGACAGCCAGGACAGACATCATCTTACAGGGATGCCTTCAAAATTAGCTACCGTTTGTGGGCCTGCCTCTGAAACGCCATGCACACAGACTGCAAGGCTCAGCCTCTGCCAGGAGAACGACTGACACTTCTGCCTGAATTCTCATCCCACTTGCCTGCGAGTTGCCTGGCAGCAGCATCTTTGCAATGCAGAAGAGCCTGCGCTGCTGAGGACAGGCAGCACTGCAGGCATCAGAGCTGCACGCTGCCCACCTGCGCCTGGCAGGTACCAGTCATGGCTGAGCTCCACCATCAGTCACAACAGATGCCAGCATCACTTTGCCAAGCTGGAGGAGGACACATAGATGCAGAAAAGCAGCACGGCAGCCTGGACAGATTTGGAACAAGCCAGCATTTCTGCTCCTACCAGCAAATCCCACTTGTGCCACGAATAAATAAAAACTGCACGCTGAACTCATTTAAAACACAAACGACTCCATTTCCTCCTTTACATTTCAAGAAAAGTCATGCCAGCATCCCACCCTGAGGGATGGAATCCTTCCTCCAAACTGGCCAGGTATATCCAATGCAGCAGGGCAAGGGAGCAGTCATGGCTCATGCACACAGCAAGATGCAGCTCTCAATCCACAGCCATCTTCCTGCTATGTGTTCAACACAGTGGCAGCACGTGGAGGATATTATGTTCTGCTAAAGTTAAGCATACATAGCATCCTACACAACAGAGGGCTCCATCACTTTGGTCTGCACTGCCCAGAAGCATGTGCTATGGGAGAGTCAATGACTTTACTTTTTACCAGACCTCCTTTTCTAACTAATACAAAGGATAACAACCCAAATTCTGACCAACCTCCTTCTTTCTTCAATGCAACAGCTGCCACATTAATGAGGTACATATTTTCCATGGCAGTTCAGTCATCACTCTTCTAGCTCACATTTCCACTGACAGCACAAAGTACCTATGCCAAGGGAGAAAATACAGGTGAAGATTTACAGCTCCACTCCTCACACACAACAGACACCTTATAACTGAACTGAGTTTAAATGGTCAAGTCAGCTGTTACCAGTTTGTGGTTTAGTTCTTCCTGGATATCCCTCACCAGCCTGCACAGTGCTGCCAAGGTATGTGAGCTGACTCGCCTCTCACAGTTCCATGCCTACAGACAAATGCTTCTGCCGGGAGTTCCTGGGATTCTCATTAATTTTTTTTTTTTTTTCATAGTTAATTATTAACTCTTTTTTTGTGAGGCTGGACAATCTGTTTTTTTAATACCATGTTGTTTGAGCCATCCTCTACTAACATTTCATTGGTGAAATTTAACTCTTGCAGAGTTCTGAGGCTGAGCTGTGCAATCCCTAGGTCACACCACACTACATTTTTCTCCTCATAATGAAGTCGCTGCCAACGTGAAACAGGAGAAGCAAGAGTGCAGTTCTGACACTGCTCTGCCTTCCCCCTCAGAGGATCAAAGCCTCCTCTGAAGGGCAAACTCAAAGCATCCTCAACTTTTCCAACTTTTAATAGCCTTAGCAAGACCTGGGGAGATCAGTTCTGCACGAGGGCAACCACAGTCAGGTGAAAAGTTATATATATATTTTTGTGAGTCAGCAGGACATCCCACCTTCTAATGTGCTGTAACAGTGCTGGAACAGGCGTGGAGAAGCCACATCCAGGCAGACATGCAGGCAGGCCCAAGGACAGGAAGGCATCATGCACTGGTTGCATTCCCACCACTGCCAGTGATTCACATCGCCTGACACTGCCATTCATTAAAGCAAGAGTGAAGTGGGGATAATAGCTATTTACTAAAAACAGAGGAGCGTGATTAGCTTTAATTAGCACTGTCAAGTGACTTGAGATTGTCGGGTACAAGATGTGGGAGAGCTAAGTCTTATTAATTACGTTACTTCCTGCAGCCTTAAGTGGCTCGGCCAGTCCAGCCACGCTTCCGATGCGCCGTCCTGCCCTGCTGAAGGTGCTCAGACAGCTCTGGCACAACCAGAACAGGGGAGCAATCAGCTCACACGCTGTAGGGCCGTTGCCTGGACAGCATTTTCTCCTCCCACCAGAGGCCAGACTACAGGAAGGCTTTGTTTCTGTAAGAAGAGGTCCATGTGCTCAGCTGGCATCACACCACCAGCACATGTACTGATTTTCCAGATAAAGATGTGTTCTAAGGAAATGAAAAGTCCTTGAGTGTGAACAGTCAGATCTCTTCTGTGGACTTAGCTTCAGGAAAAGAAAACCTGTCCTTTGCCTTTTGTTACTGTCATTAGATCTAGAAGACAAGACCTCAGAATTAACAAGCGCAGAAAAAAGGGAACAAACTGAAGCACTGGCTTACAGAATAGAAAGGAAGTTGTATGTTTTGCAGTGGTTTCAAAGTGATAAATCCACTCTGCTTTGCAATTCTGCCTTGCACCTCACTGATTAGCTTCAAAGCAGCTAAGAGAAACAACTCTCAATTTTTCCACTCAAAGCTCCACTTTGTGATCACTCATGAATTCCACTTTTCTGGCACTTCACAGCTGACCTCTAATGAAGACTCACTTTAATTTCAAGCTAACAAAGCTTTGCCAGCTCAGCTCATGACCAGAGCACAATGAAGGCCTGTGTTTTATTGACTTTTCTTCAAGAGCCTTCTAACACATGGCAAAAGGTAAGATCATGATGCAAGAACAACAAATACATGTTTTTCACTCCTCCTCAAGCCTCGTAACACTTGTATAGCACCACACTACATCAAGGAGCTCCCACTTTCTAAAAAGCTACACCAGAGTGACCAGTTCCTTAATTAAATCCTCTCTCAGCAGCAGGTATTCATCCATGAGCCTTTGAGGGAATGTGGAATTACAGGTAGCAACGCTGCCTTCTGCAGAGCAGCCCTGACTCAATGCCCACACCAAGCAGCAAGGAAATCACTTAGTCAAGATCTGTGATCCAGAGAACACAAGGGAGATCAGTGACCAGTTTTTGCCAACTGTTCCAACATTGGCACCATGAAAGAGAACCACAGAATCACAGAATTGCCAGGGTTGGAAGGGACCTCAAGGATCATGAATCTCCAAACCCCTGCCACACTCAGGGCCACCAACCATCCCACCTAATGCTAGACCAGACTGCCCAGGGCCCCATCCAATCATAATATAAAAAAAAGAAGTGCTGGACATCATCACTATTCCCAACGTTACTTTCAAAGCACCAAGGGTTCACTTTTAAGAAAGAACATCCTTTTAATTCCCCATTCAAGCACTGCCATTACACACAAGCAGCATTCAAAGGAAACCAGAGGCGTGGATCCCACCGTCACGAAGTCTTAAACAAAATAAACAGGGCTGCTCTGCAAGCACGAAGTCACCCAACGCATCCGATCCGGGCAGAATCCTCTCAACGCACCGTAAGCACAGCTCTCAGCATCTGCTCCTTTCCAACCTCCTAACTCAGCAAAGGCCTCTCTGTGCTACCCAGAGCTTTAAGTAACTGTAAACGCATTAGCAGAAAATCCTTATTGGGAGCACAGCCCTGGGAAGCACCGCGTGAGCCCAGCACGGCTCACAGCTTTCCTCACGCAGAGGCGGCAGAGCAGCGGATTCAGCCGTAGGGGCAGAGGCCAAAACTCCTTTTTTTTTCCCTACATCGCTACGACTGCGTTTCAAACTGAAAAGAAACAAAACGATTATAAACAAAACACGGATTCTTCGGGATTCCCAAATCCAACACGCCGCAACCTTCAGCTCCAGCCCCGCGGCTCCTTTTGCCATCCCCGACCTCCCAGCTGCTTCTGGACCGAACCCCAAACTTTCCATCGGAAGGCAGCAGACAAAGGAGCGGCCCTTCGCCCCCCCAACCCCCATCACAGCGAAGCGGGGCCGGATCCCCTCCGAGCCCCCACAGCTCAGCACGGCGGGCCTCACCCCAGCCCCGCAGCTCAGCGCTGCGCTTCCCCGCCCGACATCCCCGCTCCC